TTTTTTTTATTATTATTACTAACCTTGTTGATTTGCGAGAGAGGAAGTGGAGAGGGGAATAAAGATTAATCATCTCTTCCACCGGGTTGTTTCCTTATGGCAATCTTCCAACCTTGCCAAGCTGGCTTTTGAAGAAGTTTAAAGGTGGTTCACGAAACACATTTGAACAAAAAAAATATTCCTAGCAAGAATTTTCCCTGAGGTATACACATTTCTGAGCAATGGAGATAAAAACTGCTGAACCATTTAAAAGCTGCTTTGTGTTTGTAATACGCCTGAATTTGTGAACCTCAGGAAGGTTGGTTTTTTTGTTTTTTTAGTTTATTAGTTTTTTTTACTTATTTCCCTTGCTGAGATTTTTCTCCTGGTGAAATTTTTAAAAGAAAAGAAAAGAAACGCGACGAAATCCTGCTGACTTTGTGTCTGGAAACACCTCTCTCTCTGTTGCCTCGAGGTCCATAACTTTCTGAGCTTGAGAAAAGTTGAATTTCTTTTCGGAATGACTTGTCATTCATCTATATTGGAGAGGGAAGACTTTTAAAGGTTTTTCCATCGCATATAAACTCTTGAAAGGGGAGCATAATTTCTGTCAGACTTCTAGAAAAAAACTAGAATCGGGCCAGATAGCTAGAATATGGTTTGTTGGTTTGTTTGTTTGTTTATATCCTGTCTTCATTATTTTTGCAAATCACTTGAGGTGGAGGAGGGGGGAACGTATCTACACACCTTCCTCCTTCTATTTTCCCCACAACAAGAAGCCTGTGAGGTGGGTTGGGCTGGGAGAAACTGGCCCAAAGTCGCTCAGCTGGTTTCAATGGCTAAGGCAGGTGGGACTAGAACTCACCGTCTCCTAGTGACTGGCCCAAAGTCACCCAGCCACTTTCATGTCTAAGGTGGGAGTAGAATTCACCATCTCCTAGTAGTGACTGGCCCAAAGTCACCCAGCCACTTTCATGTCTAAGGTGGGACTAGAATTCACCGTCTCCTAGTGGTGATTGGCTCACAGTCACCCAGCCATTTTCATGTCTAAGGTGGGACTAGAATCCACCGTCTCCTAGTGGTGATTGGCCCAAAGTCACCAGCCATTTTCATGTCTAAGATGGAACCAGAATTCACCATCTCCTAGTAGCGACTGGCCCAAAGTCACCCAGCCACTTTCATGTCTAAGGTGGGACCAGAATTCACCATCTCCTAGAGGTGACTGGCTCACAGTCACCCAGCCATTTTCACGTCTAAGGTGGGACTAGAATTCACCGTCTCCTAGTGGTGATTGGCCCAAAGTCACCCAGCTGGCTTTCATAGGTAAGGCAGGACATGACCTCCCAGTCTCCTGGTGATTCGGGACTAGAACTCACAGTCTCCTAGTGATTGGCCCAAAGTCACCCAACTAGTTTTCATTTCTAAAATGGGACTAGAACTCACAGTCTCCTGGTGATTGGCCCAAAGTCACCCAGCCGGCTTTCATTTCTAAGATGGGACTAGAACTCACAGACTCCCGCTTTCTAGCCTGGTGCCGTAACCACTAGTTAAGTGATTAAGTGGCTAATTACTCCTGGGGAGATCCGGATTCAACTCTCCCATTTGATTTTAAGACTGCTGGAAGACTTTGCTCCAGCTATTTTCTCTTAATCTAATTTATCTTACAGGGAGGTGATGGGTGATAAAATGAAGGCAGAGCCCTGGTCTGAGTTTTCCTTCAGTTTCTAGAGGAAGATCACAGTACAAAGACAGTAAACAATACAGGGAGTCCTCAACTTACAATCCCTTGTTTAGTGACCGTTCAAAGTTACAACGGCATGGAAGATAGTGACTTATGACCAGTTCTCGCACGTAAAACCATTGCGGCATCCCCACAGTCATGTGATCAAAATTTGGGTTCTTGGCAACCGGCCTATGTATTTATGACAGTTGCGGCATCCTGGCGTCCCATGATCAACATTTGGGACCTTCCAAAGCGGCTTCCGACTAGCAAAATCAGTGGATTAACAACGCAGTGATTCCCTTCCCAGCTGTGGCAAACAGGGTCATAAAACCAGGTGCCACTCTCTTAACAACAAAAATTCTCATCCCGATTGCGGTCGTACGTTGAGGACTACCTGTATACCAGCCAATCATACATCCCACCATATGTTTGTCCTTTCTGCTAATCCATGGAAACCTCATTTGCATGTCCAGTAAACATGTCCCAAGATTACCTAAGGACGAAATGCATGTATGGATGATGGGGATAGGGGCGAGTGGGTGGGTGTGGATGTGATTTTAAGCTTTGTGTTCAGTTTGTCCTCATTTGGGATTAAGGAGAAAGGGATGAAGTTTAATTCGTCTCCCCCAAATCGTGTTGATTTTTCTCATTTCTTGTGTGTCCTGCTCAGGAAAGAAGAACGGAGATGTGGACCGGAACTTTGATACACTGGATTTACCGAAGCGATCTGAATCAGCAAAAGGTAATTTCAAAGCCCAGCAAAGACTAAAGTGGGGGTCCTTAAGGACTGCTGCAGAAGAGGAGAAGATGGGAGGGTCACCATAACCGATTCTATGCTTGCAAAAAAAGGGAAGTTTACCTGGAAACAGGACAACCCACAAAAAAAGAGAGGACCGCATAATTAGATTGAGCGGCAAGGAGAAAGAAACAAAAGTGGCTTTTGAAGGCAGCCTTGTTTTCACCAGAGCAGTTAAAGCAGTCAAAATGCTTTAGTTCTACCTTCTCTTTGATTAAGAAGTCCTTGGATGTCTTCTGAGCTCACCTTAGGGAGTTGTTCCTGCCTACAGGGAAAAAAAACCTAGGAATATGACACCGGTTGAATTTATATGCATCTTTTGCATATGTCTGAATTTGGGGGAAAGTTGAAGCCAGGGAGAAATTATTATTATTTTTGAAAGATAGTCTTGAAAAGAAGCAAGTAAATATATGTAGGAGAGTGGTTGGTTTGCCGGATTGTAGCGAGGAAGTGAATCCCCAGGAGGGATGGAGGAGTAAGAGGCAACTCAGCCCTGATGTTATGTGTGAGAGAAAGTGGGTGAAGACAGCGTCTCTTTAAGAGTTCCTGGAGTATATTTTAGAGGCAGAGAGTTGAGCGTTTAGCCCGGCAAGATTCTGCCTGTAGGTGTGACACAATAAAGAACTCAACGTTGGAAGAATCACCACGTGTCATTCTTGGTTTTGGTCCGGACGCATGGTGACTGAGGAATCCTGGGAGTTGAAGTCCACACAAGGGTGGCTGAAGAATTCTGGGAATTGAAGTCCGCATGCGATGGGATGGAATATAGTGAGGAGGGGGCTTCCCAGGAGGGAGGGGCTGCATTCCAGAGGACTAAGAGGCGAACTCAGTTCAGATAATAAGTGTGAGAGAAAGAGAAGAGGACAGGTCCTCCCTAATAGTTCCCGGAGTATATTGTAGATGCAGATAACTGAGTGTTCAGTTTGGCATGATGTTGTCAATAGGTGTGGGGAAAAAATAAAAATAACTCAACCTGGAAGAATCCCAGTGTGTCGCTTTTGGTTTTGAGCCTGGCGGTTGGTTCCAGGATATATTTCGGACGTTTCTTCAATTTCTAATTGCTTTTCCTTCCGTTTAAAAGTCTGTGTGCTTTCCTTAATTTATAATGGGTTTGGGTGGATTTGTCCCTCAAATAAGCAAGACTGAAATAACAGTTACTGATATATTCATGGCAAGGCCCACTCGGTGGCATGGTGTTTTAATTCTTTTCGGATGAGATTAATTGCCAGCTCAGGGCGAGCTTCATTGTCAAGACTGAAAACCGTCTAAATGATGAAATGGATTTGGTTTGAGTGATATCGTGGCATGCTGTGCGTATGTGTTGGAAACCAACCATTGTATATTAATCTTTTTTTCCACATTAAGGTGTACTTTAGGCAGGACATTTTTCAACCAATAGAAATAATAGAGGTAATCGTTCAAGAATCTCTTGTGGAAAGGTCAAAATGAACAACGAAGGATTGTGCATTGTATCTGCTGGCTAGTTAAGATCTGTAACAGAGGCTTTTCTGGTGTCCTTCAAAAATGGTGAAGCTCTGGAGCATAGGTAGTCCTCGACTTATGACCACAGTTGAGCCCAAAACTTCTGTTGTTAAGTGAGTCATTTGGAACTGAAACTGCATTCCAGGGATCAGCTGTGGTGGATTGTAGTCTGGATTCCCAGGAGGAAGGGGCTGCATTCCAGAAGTCCAAGAGACAGCACAGCTTAGATCGGGGTAGGCAACCTTGGCTCTTTTGTGACTTGTGGACTTCAACTCCCAGAATTCCTCAGTCAAGCACGCTAGCTGAGGAATTCTGGGAGTTGAAGTCCACAAGTCATAAAAGGGCCAAGTTTGAAGACCCCTGCTTTACAGCTTCACACCAGAATGTCCATAGCATTTCATCCTGCTTGCCCCTATCTTCTGTCTCCTGCTTTCTCCATCTTGGAGGCGACTGCTCTGACAATCTCTTGACATTTGGCCCATTAGCTGGATCTCTCCGAAGGGATCAAATTTGAAGGCAGATTCCATCTCAAAGTTCCAGAGCACGGGTGTCAAACCGCTGTCCCGCGGGCTGGATGCGTCATCCCAAAACTGCACCCACCCCATTGCTGGCAATGGGGAAAAAGTCACGATACGCCGCGACACGTCACGTGACGTTGCGAGTTTGACACTCCTGTTCCAGAGGAATTAGGGATTGGAAGCCTCTGCAGATCAAGCAAGGGCTTGCCCCAAATTGCTCCTTGTGTGTCTAGCATTGTGGTAGAGCTGCCCCCATTACTAGGCTGTTCACGTCACACTAGGTGCTGGCGAATATACAATCAGAAAGATATGTTAATCCATTTTGCAGGAAAGCTTTGTTCCTGAAGCTTAAAACCTGTCAGGATCCTTTTCACAAAACATGCATACAGAAAGGAGGTTGAGTCGAATTGATCTAATATTGATTATAACCTTGGGGAGTTAAAAGCAGTACGTCTACTTTTATTTTATTTCGCCTTCGTTCGGAAAAGTTAAATTATTCTCCACGAGGCTTTAATCGCGGTGGCATTTTGAATAATGTAGCAGCGCTACAGTTCTGTTTAAACAGTTTAAAGGACATTTTGTTCCTGGTGTTGAAGCTGAAGCAACACCCCCACCCCCCACCCCAACAAAATGAATTTTGGAAGTTGAATAGTTGGAAAACATGAAGGCAAAGAAGAAGAAGAAAAAATCTTCATTTCTGCCTCTGCTTTTCTGGCCATTTCACAAGTTGTTGTGTCCTGTTCATGAAAGAGAATACAGGAAGTTCTTGACTTACAACTACAATTGGGCTGGAACGTTGGCCATTAAGGGATGTGGTTGTTAAAGCAAATCATTCCTTTGAAGGGTTTCTGGTGAAGGATCCAAGGCTTTGGAGACACACATGAGGACACAATTCATGTATGGAAGAGAAGGTCCAGGATTCTGTCTTGGCCTCAACAAGGCACGTCTCTGTCCTGTAGCTGTCCAAGGTTCTGAAAACCCAACCTGCCTGTCCCTATTGAAGCCCAAGTATCTTGGTGCTCAAAGTCAAGTTGGATTTGAATTTGACATAACTGGGTCACATCATTGGTCTGAAGTGCTGAGATTCATTTTACGCCCTGCTAGAAAGAAGTCCTCCTGGCATTTCTTTCCAACATAGAACAGTGGTCCTTCCTTCCAAGTGCCACTCTCGTTTTCTGTCCAAGTGTTCAGTTACTTTCTTTCAAGAAAGTGCCAGTCCCTCCCTTATGCCAGTCTTATGATTTTTGTTGTATGATCTGTTTGTTTGTTGTTTTCCTTTCTTCCTCTGTTTTTTCCTTCCTCCCTTCCTCTCTCCCTTTCATTCTCTTTCTTTCTTCCTTTCTTTCTTTTCCTTTCTTCCTTCCTTCCTTTCTTCCTCTTTCTTTTCCATCCTTCCTTTCTCTCTTTTCCTTCCTTTCTCCCTCTCTCCCTTTCTTTCTCTTTCCCTTTCTTCCTTCCTTCCTTTCTTCCTTCCTTCCTTCCTTCCTTTGTCTTTTCCTTCCTCCCTTTCTCTCTCTCTCCCTCTCTCTCCCTTTCTTTCTTTCTTTCTTTCTTTCTTCCTTCCTTCCTTCCTTCCCTTCTGTCTTTTCCTTCCTCCCTCGCGCTCTCCTTCATTATCTGTCCATTTCTTCCTTCCTTCCTTCCTTTCTCTCTCTGTCTTTTCCTTCCTTCCTTCCTTCCTCTCTCCCTTTCATTCTCTGTCCATTTCTTCCTTCCTTCCTTCCTTCCTTCCTTCCTTCCTTCCTTCCTTCCTTCCTTCCTTCCTTCCTTCCTTCCAGCAAGTCCTCCTCCCTTGTCCCAATCTTGAATTTTTTTTCCCTTTCTTCCTTCCCTCTCAGTCTTCTTTTTTTTTTTATAACCAGAGCCAGTTATTTTCTTTCCCTACTTCTCCGTTCCTTCTTCCCTGTCAGCACTTAGACTGAGGCTGCTTATTCAGGCCCAGGCTGCCGTGAAGTGCCTTCCTCTCTTTAGAAACGGATCTGCCAAAATAATAAAATCTCCTCTCGGAGGATCAAGGATGCTCCTGTCATGGCAGAGTCTGACAGCCAAGCCAGCTTTTTTTTCCTCCAAGAGGGATGACAGGACTTACAAAAAGACCTGGTGATGGATCCAGGTGGGTGCCAGTGCCAGTCAGACTTGAGGCAACGAGAACTGCTAGAAAAACAAACATGATCATCAGAACGCGGACCGAAGAGAGTATCCATTCCCATCCTTTTGCATAGAGGAATTTTTGTGAACAGAACACACACTTTGGCCAGGGGCGTTTTTGCTGACCAGAAGGGGACAGGGGCCAGCACTTTGAGGTAAGACAGGTCAAGAAACAGACTTTGGAAGGACAACAGGAACGGCACTTTTGAGCCCAAAATTTCTGTTGCTAAGCGAGACAGTTGTTAAATGTGCTTTGCCCTGTTTTACGGCCTTTCTCACATGGTTATTAAGTGAATTGCTGCAGTTGTTGAGTTAGTCACGTGGCTGTTGAGTGTGTCTGGCTTCTCCCCTGACTTTGCTAGATCAGTGAAGATGATCACGTGACCCCAGGACACCGCAACCGTCATAAAGATGAAGCATCTGAGTTTTGATCATGTGACCATGGGGATGCTGCAGTGGTCATAAGTGCCGTTGAAATTTCAGACGGTCACTAAACAAACTGTTGTGTTTGGAAGACAACCTGCGTTGTTCTAAGATACATGAACAGTATTGTAACATCCTATCCAAGTGTCTTCCTGTCCCATCCTAGATGAAACTACATCAAGGCAGGATTATCTTGAGGTTCCTTCTCACTCTTTCTTCTATCTCTGGATGGTTTCATCTCTTCTCCAAGTTCCCTCCTTCATGGTTCTTTCATATCTTCTCCAAGGTCATCTCTGAATTCTGCATTCTTTTACATTTTACATTCACTCGGATTTAAGCGGCCGCTCGTCAACCAGTAGACTTGGTGGGTCATTC